TGTTTAGGGTTTGTTTGGATGATGAACCAAGTCAGGAGTAGGAAAACCCAGTGATTCCCTATAGAGTTACCAGTCAGAGAAAAACTCTTACAGAAGGCTTAAGAAGGAGACGAAGCATCACACAAAGCCAGAAGCCCAAAAGCAAAGTCAGCCTCAGAATTCAGAGGGAAGCTCCATCCAACAAGGCTAAATTGGGCATTAGGAACGTTTGGAAAACAATAACGAGAACTTATAGACCCGAGTTTCTAAAGTCCTCCAGAAGAAGCTTTTTCTCTTGAATTGAACTGCCAATTAATCCTTTACTCTTGGACTTCCCTCTTCGTGAGACAGACAATACGCATTACATAAACAGCAGGAAGCACAAGGTATAAAAATAGCAATACGTAGAAACATACAGCAGGGGAAATTTCATGCACGGAACCCAAAGACAACTCCTACTGCTAGAGGGAGCAGGTCACACCATTCCAGCCCCCAAGGCCTTTTTCTTTTAATAAACTTCCTAAAACCCAGGAGGAGGGGCCATTTTGATATCCAGGGAAATGTTCCTTGTTATTGGAAAGAATGTAGCTTTTCAGTTCCAAGACTGCTGATTCAGCTATTTCTCATGCCTATCTTTCTCCACAGTATCTAACACAGATGTGAAAAACAGCAGTTTGGAATGCCCCGGGTGTTTTGAATTCAAAACCTACTGCGAGGCCACATTGATGAAATGTCCTGAGAAAGAGGACCAATGCGTGAACATTACTGGGACGTTTGTTGACGGTAAAACTGAAATCAAAATATTTGGAGTGAGGAAGTGTCTGGCTAGGTTCACATAACATATTTAATCCTGGCTGGCAGACAGAATTAATTTTCTGAATTTGTGCAGCTCAACTGCAAATTGTGTCTTGGCTGTAGCTCTTCGCAAGCACCTAGTAATATGAGGACTTAATTGCAGACAGTCCCTTCTATGACAAGAACCTCTTAGTGATTGCATTGGGCTAATCATGTGTCCTGCCATTGTCCACTGTTTGGGACTAGATCCAAACGTGTGTGCGTGCATGTGTATGTACACACACACAAACATATGCATGATCCTGAAAAGCTCAGCAAGTTTGGACCTGGCTAGCCTTTGGATAGCTTAAGTGGAAAGTCAGAAACAGCTCTTGGCAGAAGGCGATGGGAAACCCCTTCTCTTGTGTTTCTCTAAAAAATACATCAACTTGTCCACAGAGTTACTAAGAGTCGAAGAGTCTCTGCCTTTTCCTTTGTGCTAGCAGCAATTACTTGAAGCTACTTTTCCTCTTTTTGATCTTTTCCAGCCAGTGGAAGCAAACCCTTCTATGGTAGAGGTTGTACTGCAGTCACAGAAAGGGACATTGTCCTCGGTGACACTATTGCCACAGGTGAAAACTCCTGGTTTCAAATTTCTGGCTTCAGTGTGGAGAAAGCTAAAGATAGTTCGTGGTCAGTTCAAGAAAGCTCCACGGTTACCCTCCTTCTGTCTGGTCTCATTGGAATCCAGCTGACCAACTTCTTTTATTGATCTTGGTTTCCTGTATTGAAAAAGCATCTGAGTCCTAAAGAGTTAAGGATGCGGCTATATTGGAGACCTGTTGTAATTTAACCCCAAAGATGTTTCACTGTTACCTTTGAGAAGTATGTTTTTCTCTCCATACCATTTGATTTTTTTAATGTGTTTTGATTATTTTCATATATTATATCTAATCAATTCATTAAAAGGATTTTCCCAAACTCTGACATTCAAATGTATTTGCATTCAGTTAATGTGAAAAAAGAAAAGAAAAAGAGGCGGCTCCGTAAGCAAAAAGTAGAATATATGTTTTTCATATAGAATATCCCATTTTCATCTTTGGAATCTTCCACTAAAAACATAATAAAAATTGTGACAGATGGGCCTTTGTCTGAAACACTGGCAGTCCATTTCCTCTCTAAGAAACTAAAAGTTAAAGTGGTCTTTAAGCCAGAACCAAATGAACCACATTATGGCATATAATGAATGACCAGTAATTCTACTTGAAATAGGGCAGATTCCTATATCCCCAAAACCACTTGAGCAACTGGATGAGGAGCAATTGGATGAGTAGCAATTGGATGAGTATGAGTTACTTTGTTGTGATAGTTGACTTCTCTCACCCCACCGTCCTGGAAAGAAACTTACCTGGATTTGGCCTGATTGAATTCCACTTTAGAGTCCCTGGGGTTCCCTGAGCTTGGTTGTTTTCTTGCAAATGTTTCATTACCTGGCTAGGTAAGATCTTCAGTGCTAGAATGGGATGGGGTTTGGTCTCTGTTTATATACTGTGGTGTGTCCTGCCAGTGTTGGTGGGGGTTTTATTTTGTTCCTCCAGTAGTTCCTTGATTAGGGTATTGTTCACTGCTTGATTGTGTGCCTGGTGGTAACCTCTGATTATCTGGGTGATGATTGCTGGTGAGGAGAAGTTCTGGTCTTTTGTTTTCTTTTCTATTGTCTCTTTTGAATGGTGTGTAGATGCTGTTTATCTCTATGTGTCTGCTGATTGCTGCCTTGCCGGAATACCAGGCTTCCAAGAATTCTCTTGCATTTTTGGATTTAGCTTGGTCTAAAATGCTGACAGTTTCCCAGTTAAAACTA